ATATACACACATACACATGCATACATACAAGACACCAAAAGCATTTATCCAACCGTGTATTGGAGACGGAGCTTGACAACGGTACCATGTAAAATTGTACAATGGAATATAATAAAGTGTAAAAATCTTTTCTTTTTCATTTTGTATACAAGCTGTGGTTTGTGTCTGTGTGTGTGTGTGTATTTGTGCACATGTGTGCATGCACAACATAAAAAGCAAAAGGTAGAGACGGTCTGTCTCTGTTTCTGTCCATCTCCAAGTTCTCCACCAACAAAGGAAAAGTAGAGGACATCTCCAGGGGTATTGCCCATATGGCAAAGTACAGTAACACCCCAAATCCACCAAACATGGATACCTTTATGGAGCCAACCAAAATGCACAATATACATGTTGCAAGCTTTCGGAGCTCCACTGGCTTCTTCATCAGGTATTATGATTTTTAACTCCTTTCCTGATGAAGAAGCCAGTGGAGCTCCGAAAGCTTGCAACATGTATATTGTGCATTTTGGTTGGATTCATAAAGGTATCCGTGTATGGTGGATTTTGGGTGTTATTGTACTTTGCTATATGGGCAATACCCCTGGAGATGTTTTCTACTTTTCCTTTATTGGTGCATTTTGGTTGCCCCAAAGGAAAAGTAGTTTTCTTAACACAGGATAGATTTTTTTACCCCTCTGTTCCCAGATTTGCCTATCTTTGCTTCTTCTGCATAGTTTGGTTTCTGTGGGTTTTGGGAGAAAGACAAAGAACTATTCAGTGCATTGGAGATATAATTTTGCATGTTTTCCATAAAGCTCAAAAAGTTGATAGTAGCTGTGATCATATCTATATATATCTCTGTATATATAGATATTCTGATGAAAACTAAATGGATGTTATTGGACAGCTCCCTTAAAGCATCTGATCTCTAGCTAGGTTTGTGTGCATCCAGAACTTGGGCAAAGTGGGTGCAATTTTTGGAAAAAATCCAGATGTCTCTAAGCTTTCTGAAATGCAGGGTGACCAAACGGATCCTCCTTTTCCAGGACCTGCCCTACATTTCCACCTCCTGTCCAGGAGGAATTCCAAAACGTCCTCCCATTTTAAGAAGCCCATTGAGTAACACCACGTTTGATAAATAAAATTTATTATTATTATTATTATTATTCCCCTGGAGAAATGGGTCTACTTGGCAGCCTGTCTTTGTCGCAGAAAGGTGGATTGTTATTGTTGTTGTTGTGTGCCTTCAAACCATTTATGACTTATGGCAAGACCCTAAGGGGACCCTATCATGGGGATTGGGATTTGCCATTGCCTTCCCTTGAGGCTGAGAGAGTGTGACTTGCCCAAGGTCACCCAGTGAGTTTCCATGGCTGAGCCAGGATTCAAAGCCTGGTCTCCAGAGTTATTTATAATCCAATGTTCAAACCATTATGCCATGCTGGCTCCCCAAAATAAGATGCTTCTAAACTTCTTTTTTCCTAGGAACTAGCAGAAAAGACTTAGGAAAAGTTTGCTTTTTGGCAGAGAAAAGACAGCAATGCAAAAGTTGACAGGGTTTGAAGTTTTCCCCCCCCCCCCATGTTTAATTTCAGCACAATGGACAAATTAATGGAATATTTTAAATGCAGATTCAATCCAGAGTTTATTGCCAGCAAAGTACAACTTTCGGCATTTGTCTGGCTCAGAGTTATAGTCCTCTCTTGCAAGCCAACAAGGCATTTATTGGGAAACCATTGGGCGGTATACAAATAAATATTATTATTATTATTATTATTATTATTATTATTATTAATTTTAATGAAGTCCCATCAGAAAAAATACAGTTGAGCGCAATAAAAATGCAGGACATAAAGCACATGAAATAAAATTGTATTTCTATGAGAGTTTTTAACTCTTATTTGGGACTGTCCCATATTGTTCTTCAGTTTCCTATGGCATTTTTGCAGTCCTCCTTTGCAGTTCGGATGCCTGATCCCCTTTTTAACCACTTTTTTGACAAGGTATTTTGTACTTTGGGGATTTTTTATTCTTCAGAGAAGGTTCTTAAAAAGGAGAAACTTGATTCATTTTGTACCAGGAAGTCTAGTTCCTCTCCGCCTTTATTTGAATAATGAGCCTTGGAACAACAACTGAAAAAAGAAAAGGAAAAAAGTCCCACAGCCAGTCTCTATGCAAATCTCATCACCTTTTGCATAAAGGTACCCTCCTTAGGTTTCTATTTAAAAAAGAAATAAAGAGGGTGTATTCAGCCTACATATGCAAAGGTTGAAAACCTGGGGCCCTTCCACACTACACAGTAATAATAATAATAATAATAATAATAATAATAATAATAATAATAATAATAATAATAATAAATTTATATCCTGCCCTTTGGGGATCCAATCAGGGCCTCTTGCAACAATAAAACCATACAATATATCCCAAAACACAATCCCTCCCCCGCTTAAAACAGTATTAAATCAAATGAAGATTAAAACTACAAATTCGAACAATTAAAAAAAAAAATTAAAACATTACAAAGCACAACATTGGCCCAATGATTCCACTTATAGCAGTATGATTCCACTTCAGCGGCTGCGATTCCAGCCCACGAAATCCTGGGATTTGCAGTGAAGTGGGAGCCAGCACGGTGGAGTGGTTTTAGTGCTGGACTATGACTCGAGACCAGGGTTCGAATCCCCGCTGGGCCATGGGGAAACCCACTGGGTGACTGTGAGCAAGTCACACTCTCTCAGCCTCAGAGGAAGGCAATGGCAAACCTCCTCTGAACAAATCTTGCTAAGAAAGCCTTCCCGATAGGGTCGCCTTAGGGAATGCTATAAGTGGGAAATGACTTGGAACCACAACAACAACAAAAAGAGATATTTAGTATTTCCAGCCAGAGAGTTCTGACTTCTCACCAAACTAGAAATCCCAATAATCCTCAGGATGTTGTCATGGCTGTACATCAGTTAGCCTTTTGGAAGAAGATCCTTATTGCGTGTTGATTATATATAAATGCTTCCATCCTTTTTGGTATCCATGGTTCATAACATATTTGGGCATCTTTATGAGAGATGGGCCAAGTATTGCATGGTGGCATGCCTAAATTGTGTGTGTGTGTATATATATATA